ACGAGCTCTGCTAGGAAGGGAAACCCAGGTCCCCGCACCGCCCGCCCTTCCCGGCCGCTTATTCAGCAACTGCACACTCTGCTGCAGCGAATCCGCAGCTACAGAAGCCAGAGGTCAGATTCACAAACACCAGGGACAGTTCACTCAGCGATTTTGAACCTTGAAGCGAACTTGCCAGTGACAGTAGCAGCACTATGTCATTTGTTTGTGACAAATGAAACGATCCTCCGGCTCCCAGTCTTCACAGCACTTATGCATCTTTACAAAAATACACACACACACATGCAATGAGGCGGAAGGCAAGAATTACAAAGAGAAACAAATCCAAACTTGGGGTGGGGTGGGGGAAGAAAGAAATGACTCCAGTCCTGGGAAGTTCTTAACAGCTTTATTTGTCATGGCCTGAAAGAGGCAACAATTTAGTGCTTTCACTGACATGTGACCACAAACTCAGCAATAAAAGGGAGGCTATTGATATTTGTAACAACCTGGCTGGATCTCAAGGGCATAATGAGTACTGGGAAAGCACCTGGAACAGGGAGCACCCCCCTTAGACCAAACACAGAAGCCTTTTAGCAGCTGATAGCTTTTCTGGGAAAGGTCAGGGTGTGCCTGTTCCCCCCAGAGCCCTCTACTCACCAGATGGAGGAAAATGTTAAGTCTGTCGTTCTGGTTCTCCCGACTCCACTGTGCACAAGTGGCTCTTTTTGAGATGAAGTGGGTGGCTCTGAAAAGAGCCTTTGTGTTCTCGGGTCCCCTTCATTCTTACTTCTTTTTGGGGGCAGTCTTCTTGGGTTTGGGCGATTTGGCCTTGGCCGCCTTGGGCTTAGGGGCTTTGGCCTTGGCCGGACTCTTGGCCGCTTTCTTGGGCTTGGCGGCCTTCGCCTTCTTCGGACTCTTGGCCACCTTCTTGGCCACGGCGGCCGCCGCCGGCTTCTTCGCCTTCTTCGGGGTCTTCTTGGCGCCCTTCTTGGGGGTGGCCGAGCCCGCCGCCTTCTTGGGCTTCTTGGCCGCGCCGGCAGCCTTCTTGGGCTTGGCCGCGCCCGCCTTCTTGGCCTTGGGCTTGGCCTCGCCGGGGGCCGCCTTCTTGTTGAGCTTGAACGAGCCCGAGGCGCCGGTGCCCTTGGTCTGCACCAGGGTGCCCTTGCTCACCAGGCTCTTGAGGCCCAGCTTGATGCGGCTGTTGTTCTTCTCCACGTCGTAGCCGGCGGCCGCCAGCGCCTTCTTGAGCGCGGCCAGCGACACGCCGCTGCGCTCCTTGGAGGCGGCCACGGCCTTGGTGATGAGCTCGGACACCGGCGGCCCGGACGCCTTGCGCTTGGCCCCGGCGGACTTGCGGGCCTTCTTCTTCACGGGCGCCTTCTCCGCAGGAGGCGCGGGCGGCGCGGCAGGTGCGGTTTCGGACATGATTGCGGGTTTGGATACCTGACAGTAAAAAAATAGTAAGCCTCGGAGGTAAGTGGCGGGGCCCGGAGCGTGTCTATATAAACACACAGCCTCGCTGCGCGCTGATTGGCTCCCAGCTTGCTCTTCCGGCCTGACAGCCGCGGAGTCTCTATCGTGTCTGGAGTTGTGTTTGTTACAGTTAAGGAAAGCCCCAAAATTCAATTTTCCTGCGGATCAATGACACCAGTTACAATCTATAATGTACCGGGACAGCTCAAGCTTTGAGATATTCATAACTTTTTCCTCCAGGTCCTGTCACTTCGACCTCAGCTTTTTTCAAAAGCCCCCGACATCATGTGAGAGTCACAGGTCAGAGAGACAACTTGCTGATTTTCATTTAAAATATGAATTCTTCCCTGTGTGTCTTCAACAGCTCACTCTGTGTCAATGTTCTATACCTTCTAGGCTTCTCGTCCAGTTCAGCAGCTGCTTTGTTCTTATTAAGATTTACCCAGAAAACCTGTTTTATAAGAGGACAAATAGCACAGACTCGCTCAGGATTTTTCTAATAGAACGATATTGAAGGGTACCAGGAACAACTGCAATTTCTGATATGAAGAGTGATTATTGAGTCTGAAAAGCTTTAGCACAGCCTTTTGAGTATCTGGAAGATTGGTTAAGTTGGGGCCTGGAACGCTGCATTTATTTAGGTAAGTGGGAAATGCAATAAGCAGTGATCTTGGCTGGGTGGCTGTGCCTGGGTTGCAACAGCTGATGGCAGAGCAGTTCCGAGCAAAGGCATGAAGAGTGGGACCCTCTTACTAGTTAAGAGTATTCTTTTTCTTACATTGCTTTTTTAGGGGACATCTGTTTTTTAAATGTTCACGAGCTTCTTTGTGCGGAGGTCTGTCATGCTTGGGGAAGATAAACCGGCAAAAATTTAAGTAACATCATTAAGGGATATAGTCAGACACAGCACACACACACACACGCGCACTTTTGAATTCCTTTAAGAGAGGGAGACTTAACAACGAGCATATTCTATATTTCCCGCATTTGTTATCTAAGCAAGGATATAGATTTATAGGAAATAGTGTATGCTTTATGTTCAGGAAGAAATAGATTTATAGTAGAGTTGTAGAATGGGCTGTTCTTACTAGATGCTGTTCTTGATAAATGTGAAAATGTAGCACAGTATTTTGCAGATGCAGCTGCAGCTGCATGAGCCTGACCACCAAGTGGGTAGGTTTACCAACTGCCCAGAACACAGCCAACCTCATCTGAGTAGGCGCCAGTCAAAGATGACATTCTAGTCGATCTCCTTGAAAGTTCTCTTAACGGCAACACCATTCTTTGATTACCTGGCACGAAAGATTGTTAATTCTTCTATATTTCCTTCATCGGCAAATCCAGATTGTCACCGAGTTTGGTAAATTCTTCCCAAATTCATCTCTTATCTCCTATTTCTCCCATTATTGTTGTACCTCTGGCTCCTGTACTTCTTGCCTGGACCGGCTATTCTCATGGGCCTTTCTTACCTCTCGGTCTCTCTGTAATACAGCCTCCTTATTGCTAACAACAACATTTTCCTCAAGTGAGCTTCAGATTCGTGTAGCCTGTCTTCCTGTAGCTTCCTAAGTTAGGAATAAACAGTAGCATTCGAAGTCTTTGCTGTCGCTTCACGGTTCTGGCAGCATGGTTTAGGAGAACGAGCACCGAATTTGCAAAAACACTGATGTGTATTGGAGTCTGGTTTGTCAGCTTACAAGCTACATGATCTCGGTCATATCATCTAACCTGTCAGAATACCTTTCCTGCCCCCCTCTTCCCTGCTCATCACCTGACTGTAATGTCATCAAGCTGATCTAATGACATACTTCGATGCTTTGATTCCCAGTCTCATATGGGTGACACTGCTCCCTCTTCAGAACTGCTACATTGATTTCTTTACCGGCGATCCGTCTGCCTCATGTCACCTGCATACGTGTCCACTTTCGAATCTTCCTAGTAGAATTTAAGCCACCCAGAGTACGATCGGTCTCAAAGATAGGGCATACAGCCATGTATAAAAAAAAGGAACTTGCACAAATCCACGCGGGCATCTGGCGGAGCCAGACGCCAGTGTCCTGACTCCATTCCAGGGCCGCTTTCCGCCCTGGTAGCTGCTGCCCAAGTGCTTGTTTCGAGGGTGCCATACTCAGCATGCGGCTGTTGGCCACATGGTGCCTGACACTTGTTGTTCATTTTAAATCGAATTAGAGCCCTGAGCGCGTGGGGCCTGCACTCTGTTGAAGGCGGAGAGCAAGTACAAAACTAGGAGCTGTTCCGATTTCTGTCACTGAGCTCTGCGTGGCCCACACGGGTGTGCCTCTCCTCAGGGGGTTCTGACTGGCCCTTTAACACAGGCGGAGTTTTCACATCATGTTGCAGCTGCCACACTCCTCACGGAAGGCGAAACCTAGGGAGCTTTCTGTCCCCTTCACATGCTAGAGAAACAAAACAAATCTGCTAATGAAATGACACTTCTACACTAATATGGAAGAGAGAGAACATAATTTATTATTGAGTAAGCATCAACGGATTTATGAATATGTAAGTTAGCATAAAAATGACTACAGTTAGGGGAAAAAAATCTCTCAGCTTATAGAGCAAAGCAGAAGAAACAACTTTTTCTCCTTGGGAGACAGAGGCTACATCTTGTGACATCTTCTGTATGTCTTGTGAGAGACTGCTAAACTACTTCTAGAGGGACATTTTTACTTATCTACAGATTATTTAGCCCATGACCTAGGAGATATCTCTACATTATAAAACCAGAGGTTGGGCTTAATCCCTATCGAAATTTCTCTCCATTTCTAAGGGAAGACTAAAAGCTCAGACTCACTATTTCTCCGCGAAAACTCTCTAAGAGGCAAAGGAAATGAAACAAGTGGAGGACCCGTCGCCGAGTTCCTGGCGCGGTTCTGCCACCGTCTGTCACTAACGCCATTTTCGTTGTAAAATGACGGGCCTTCCGGTGCTGCCCTCTGCTCAGTCTTGCAACCCAAAGCCTCTTGGGCCCTCCAGGACCCCACGGAAAAAGGGTTCTCTACCATTTTTGTGTTAAAGAGTTTTTCATAAAACTGATAAAGCTTCTGGGCCCCTTTCCAGAACACTCAAAATGTTTAAGAAAATTCGCATAAGGTTTCAAAGGAAAAGAATGATATTAAAATACTGTTATTAAATTGTCAAAAATCCAAGTTGGTGAAGTATTAAAATATGCCAGTTTTTCTCAATACATTACATAACAAGGTTACCCATAAGGCTGAGAATCGGCACGGTTTAGATGGAGTCATATAAACACTGTCCTGAGAGTCACAGTATTTGTTGCCAACGTTCGTAAACGGGAAACGCTAGGGTTCAGTTGCGGGATAGTAAGAATAAAGATGAGATTTTCGTTCTGCATGTGCAGGGCCCCAGATGCTCCGAATCCCGTCTGTGCATCTCAGGTTTAAGATCTTCAGAACTGTCCCCGTGTGAACCCACGAAACAGCCGTGGTGACCACGGCCCTTCTGGCACAGTGTGGCAGAAAAGCCAAATCTACCGAACATCAGCAGGATCTCCTCCAGGAAATGGATGATGAATTAAATATGTAAGTATTTATTTTGAGGAGACCTCAAAAGAAGTGTGGGGCTCGGGAACAAGCATCCCTGAAATGTGCCAGCCTGGCATATGGATAATTGTGAGCTGAACTCAATTATAGCCCAACAAACTCTAGAAGAGTTTTCTTTTCCTCCCAAGAGATTCAGGTGGAAAAACCTGCTTCGGAAAGGAACCTTACCGTAATCATCTTAGTGTATTCACGTCACCACATGTGAATCAAGACAGGAAGGTCCATGCCAAGATGTGGTCACTAGATTTCTCTCCATCCCCTTGTTTCTGAGTCACCAGCAAGGATGTGTTTGCCAAACCTGTGAATATTTGAATTGCTCAGTTTCCCTTTGAAATCCCAGGCCCTTCCTCCCTTTCTGCTTCGTCCAAAATGACATATATACCTCATTTTCCTTGTCTTTACAATTTTCATGTGTACGTGAATTCCCCATATGCAGGTATGAAAATTTGATTTTCTCTTATTCATCTGTTGCCATTAATCTGATTAGCCCAGCTAGAATTTGGAAGGTGGGAGGAAAATTATTACATTTACAGCCAGATGGAGGGTTTTAGCAAATTAAGATACTCCCGTAGGCTCATCATTTGAGCAGTGCCACTGAGAGAAGACTTGAGAGCAGCCACAGTCACAGTGCGATAAAATAGTTAATGTTGAGTGGCTGCTTATTCACAGATGTGTCTTTAAACAATTGGCAGATCATCTCTTACCTGTCCTGCATGGGACAACGTGTATTAACTAATCATTTTATATTTGGGGAAATCTAAAGGCCGCGCATCAGGCTTCTTTGTGGAATGTGTATATATTTTTATCCCCCTTAGAGCTGCAAGTATTGCATGCAAACATTACACACGTATGTAGTAAGGAAGCATTTATTAAACCCCGCCCCCTGGATCCACGGTCGATTCAGACGCAACACGGGGTCTCCAGAGCTCTGAGCAAGGGACCGACAAGAGAAGGGCGGGAACTGAGTTGGTTCCCGCCTCTGCTCTTCTTGTTTACAATCAGGTCCGTAAGGATACTATAAAAATGGTGAGCTGGGCTAGTGATAGTCACTGTGTCACAGGCTTAGCAGCTGATAAGTCGCAATGTCTGGTCGCGGCAAAGGCGGGAAGGGGCTCGGCAAGGGGGGCGCCAAGCGCCACCGCAAGGTGCTGCGCGACAACATCCAGGGCATCACCAAGCCCGCCATCCGGCGCCTGGCGCGGCGCGGCGGCGTCAAGCGCATCTCCGGGCTCATCTACGAGGAGACCCGCGGGGTGCTCAAGGTCTTCCTGGAGAACGTGATCCGGGACGCCGTCACCTACACGGAGCACGCCAAGCGCAAGACGGTCACGGCCATGGACGTGGTCTACGCGCTCAAGCGCCAGGGCCGCACGCTCTACGGCTTCGGGGGCTGAGTCTGAACCCCGGCTCGCTTTCTACTACAAAACCAAAGGCCCTTTTCAGGGCCACCTATCCACTCACTGGAAAGAGCTTGTCACTAATTTTATCCAGATGTAGGGGTATTACTGATTCTAACAGTCAAGTTAGTTTATAACGCTTTTTCTTACGTTTCTACAGTCAGAGTTAATCCATAATGCAGGTTGATCGCTATCGCTTACCATTGGAGGCTCTTGGCAGTGCTGCTGTGGTGTTGGCTTCTCTGGCAGAGGCGAGTGTAAGTGTCTGCCCCAGCTGCAGCTTTAAGTGCTCCTGACTCCTCTCCAGTGAGGAAGGTGTTAACCGAGCAGAGAACAGGCCCTAGGCGGTGACAGCAGTGATGAGTCTCTGCTTGAGTAGAGTGGGCAGAGCTGCCCCACAGACCAGTCACAGATCTTTCCCTGTGACAATAATTTATTGGTGAGTCTCTTTGTAACGGCAGCCTAGGTTTACCACAGGAAATGCGGTTTTGTTTTCTCTGTATTTAGAAGTAAGGGACTGTCTTTCCATCGGCCTGGGAGCTCTCAAGGGAAGCTGATGCCCAGTGAGCATTTCCTTGGTCTCTTCCATGCTGGACAGGGCACGGGAGGGACATATTAGACGAGTGGATGGACCATCCTTGTGTGTCAGGTGGTTTTAATCTGGATATTTCACACAGGGACGTAGACGTTTTAGGGCTCACTCACCTTCAGGGGCTCTGGTTAGCTCGTCTTTCACCAGAGGTGAGATATTCTCAACACGTGGCAGGTACGCAGCATCTGTCTCTTCTGAGAACGTTTTAGAAAGCCAGGTCCCCAGATCCCCCCCACAGCCAAGAAGATAGGAACTGTGGGAGTGGGACCACCCTGCGGGTAATCCAGTGCCTGTCCAGTGTGAGAGGCTCTGCTCCGTGTCCTCGGCTGGTAGCTCAGTGCTTGGTGCTGGAGTGTGAATGAGCCTTGTGGGCGCCCCTTTTGTCTGCAGGGAAGGCCCGGGCCTCGGGCAGTGCAGGCGCCCGCCCAGGGGGCCCTCACCCTCCTCGCCCTCTAACGCAGCCTCGTTTTCATCCAGGTTGCCTCTCCCCCCGGCCCCGTGCAGCAGGAAAGGCGGAGGTCTTGTCTAGCTCCCTGGACAGGGTCCTGATTCACCCCCGCCAGCCCCACGGGGTCTTGTCCCTTAAACTGATCAGTTCGGGGGTGGGTGCACAGCCCGGTCTTTGGGAGAGCCTTCAGCGTGGAGATGAGCATGGCATCCCCAAGAACACGACGATGAAGCCGAACGGGAGTTTCTGATCAACAAGCCGAGTGCGTGTGGCCGGTGGGTGTGGAATCAGCATTTCGGGTGAGGGCCGCACCCGGCTTGGCTCATGTGGGGCTCGAGCCCAGAGCCCGACTTCTGATCCTGTGTCTGGGGCTCACTGACGGGCACTGGTTGGCTTTCCCCCCAAGTCTCGGTGACAGGAGTAGGAATGGGGTTCACCATGGACAGAGGACTGTCGCTTACATCCCCGACTGGAACCAAAGGCATCAGAAAAGGCGAGAGGCGCCCGCGACCTGGTGACCTGAAAACCGACGCTTGCCGTTTGTGTCTCTGTAAACACTGATAAAGGGGAGGCCAGATAGACCTGCTGGGAGGACCAGGAAGAAACTTTGGGTGCGCTTGGTATTTCCATTTATGGGTGAGGTGCCACTCAGCACACCGTTGTCACCCAGCTTCCGTGGCGGGGCCTCTGCCCCGGGTTTTACAGAGAATTCAGGGAGCAGGAAAAGTTCTGTCATTTTGGAGGTTTCGTCTTCTCAGCATTATGGGATGGCAAAGGGCAGGTTTCCAGACCTCAGTGTCCCGGCGCCGCGGCCGCGTGTCTTCCCGCCCTGCGCGCTGCTCTCCCGGCCAGGGCCGCCCCGAGCTACTGAACGGCAGGGGAGCGGGGCCGGAGCCAGGATGAGGGACGACTCGGAGGGGCAGAAAGTGACAGAGAAGGACGAACTGGAGGCTGCACGGCCAATCCTCGTATCCTGTGGCCACACTGGTGACGAAACTCAACACTGAGAATTCATTGTCTGTGAAACGAGTTAGGACCGGGAGAGAACTGTGTGCTGCGCCATTAGAGACCTCAGCGCCGAGCGCGGCTTTAGGGAGCAGGCGGGAGACGCAGCAGTTAGAGCCGTCACCCCCCCACCCCCACGGGGAGCGCTGCCGCCGCCCCGCAGGAGGCGCTGGCCAAACGGCCTTGGCGACGCGCAGCCGGGACTCCACGGCCCGGGCGAAAGGCTGGGGACGCGCCCTGAAAGCTCCCAGGCCCGCGCACGACGTGGCGGAAACGCGCCGCGCCACCAAGAGGAGCCTTTGCTTCTCGAGCGGGACTTTCAAATGTGGCCGTGGCCTCAGACGCTCCGGGGGGATGCTTTACATGAAATGGTGACCAGACGTTGGATGGTCACTGCACAGTTCATGAAACGCGACCCCCAGGCCCACACGGCCCATGAGATTTCTAACACGGTGACCAGGAGCCGCCGAGAGCTTGGGGCGTCCGCCCCGGCTCTGAGGTCACGTCCGCTCACAGGGAACCCGGAAGGGGGCACGATTATTAGGACCCCGGGGAGCGGGGCCACCATTCGGGATCCTGGTGACGTTTCCCTCAGTGACATCATTAATGCTTATCGAACGCCGATTGTAGAAAGGCACACGCCCGCTCTCAGCTCTGTTAGTGAGAGTGTGGGTGGCTCTGAAAAGAGCCTTTGGGTTAAAGGGTGGCTGCAGAGGGACTCACTTGGAGCTGGTGTACTTGGTGACGGCCTTCGTGCCCTCGGACACGGCGTGCTTGGCCAGCTCCCCGGGCAGCAGCAGGCGCACGGCCGTCTGGATCTCCCGCGACGTGATGGTCGAGCGCTTGTTGTAATGCGCCAGGCGCGACGCCTCGCCCGCGATGCGCTCGAAGATGTCGTTCACGAACGAGTTCATGATGCCCATGGCCTTGGACGAGATGCCGGTGTCGGGGTGCACCTGCTTGAGCACCTTGTACACGAAGATGGAATAGCTCTCTTTGCGGCTGCGCTTGCGCTTCTTGCCATCCTTCTTCTGGGCTTTGGTGACCGCTTTCTTGGAGCCCTTTTTGGGCGCGGGAGCGGACTTTGCCGGCTCAGGCGGGCTCGGGCATGGTCGGGAAGACAGAAAAAAAGGGAGGAAAAGAAAAAAAAGAAACAATGAGCAGAACACGATCTGCCCTTTTTATATACAGCCTCGCATGCAAATAAGGCGATGAAATACAGTTCTGTTTCTGATTGGTGGCTTTTCAGAGTAACGTCAAAAAATTAGCTCTGCCCAATCAGAACGCGGGCATCCCCAATTTGCATTTCCACTGGTCAGGGTGAAGCTGAAATTTAAACCAATGACACCTCTGGTTTTTGGCGTCCAAGGCTGTTTAGACAAAGCTCACCCTGGACTAGGTCCCGCTCGCGGCGAAGTTCCAAGGTGCGTTGCTGATGTCCAGCCAATTGCTGAGGACAGAAAATGCTTGTTTTTACATATAGATGTTTTATATGTTTGTTTATTTAATCATGAATTGCACATGATTGAATATTGTCATATTTTTTCATTTTACAAAAGAAAGGGAAAAGATACAAAGTGATATATACCTAAAGTAGCAGAGATTGGATTTTTGTGTAACAACAACAAAAAAGTTACTTCCTAAGCCACTGACATCTTTAACGCTGAGATTCGTAAGCGCGCTCCGGCCACTCTCCAGGCCACTGCCGCGCGGGCTCGGATCCCGCATGTCTAATGCGACACTTCCCCCGAGAGACCCCGGAGTTTTCGCCCCGCTCGCCCGCGCGGGCCCGCGTTCTGGAGGAGTGGCCCGTTTAACCTGCGCCTGGCTTCCCGAGGGCCGCAGCTCCCTGCCGCCTAGGCCCGGCTACTCCCATGGTGATTCTGCACCGGAAGCAGCTGGTCGGCCAGGGGCTGGTTGGTGGTGCCCTCTTGGGCTACGCCCCCCACCACCCCCAGACTGCTCGCTAGCGGGGCTTCAGGCGATCTGGGTGCACAGCGGGGTTGAGGAGCACTTTGCTCAGGGAGCTCTGGGCAGGAAGGGGCCCTTTCCCCTCAAATCTCATCTCTCAACCATATGTTTTAGAAAACACTCTCCCTTTTCGATTCTTTGTCTAGGATCATTTGTTATTTATTGCTTTATATTAGCGTTACCAATGCCACCTTTTTATTCATTTACTAGTTGAGAATTTTAATCTATTCCCATTTGGGGAAGAGTTGAAAACCACCAGCTGACAACCAAACCTCTAGAGTTAAGTCGATACGCAGCTGCTTCAGGAGTGATGACCTCTCCACCTTTCCTCTCATCTCATCGTCCCCATGACTTTTCTTTTTACAAATATATGTGATCATTTGGGGACTAAGGCACATTGCTTGGAAACAGAAGACCGTTGTGGTCTGATTTATTTTTAATTCGGGACAAATATGAAGAATAAAATAAGAGCATCGAGTCAATAACGCTCGACCATTTACCCCGTAGTGTAACCACTGGGTTTGTGCTGGCTGGAAAATTACTGCTTGGCTATCGCGCATGGGAACATAACCTTCTAACAATAAGCTTTGTGCTTCTGTACCCCCGCTTGCACACCTGACCTGTGGGTTGACAGGTAGTGAGTAGAAGAAAAATAGACCTTTGCATTTAAGACAGAATGAGGAATGGGATTTAGAGCTTAAAAACCCTGTACCTCTACATTTCGGGGCTGCTTAATTTGGGGTCTGCATACCCCTGGCAGACCCAGCTGGCTGAATAAAGAGCGTGATTTCTGGTGGTCCACGTGTCTTTCGGGGGCTGGCGGCCACAACACAGAGGCTCTGCCGAGCAGACTGGCCGGCCTTCGGAGTCGGATGGCCATCTGAGGGTTCCTTTGATTTGCAGACTGCATTCAGAGTCAGGAGTGTTGTTTATGGGAATCCTGGTCACCCTGATCAGGCCCCATACATAGATGTTTGGATAGACATTGTGTCTGATGCTCCCAAGTATCTGAAAGGTTGTCAGATTAAGTCAGACTCTCCGG